ACACAGCTTGACCTCACCTTTCTCTGACTTGGAACTGGAGTTTGTGTTTGCTTTGTGTCCACAGCCCTTTGTGGTTTCCAAGGCCTGTTGGCTTCTATCATCATAACCCTGGGTTGGGTAACAGTAGCAGGTGCTGCTGGAGAGGGTGAGTGGTTTTCTCAGTCACACAGAGATAGCCTTGGTCCAGGGTTTCTCCCTGCTCTTAGGGAGCGCTCTATGGAGTGGGCATGTAAGTCTGCTTGAGATGAGTGAGGAGGCAGGCTGGGCTCAGATCTTGGCTCTAGAACTGTGAGTGTGCCCCTGACTCCCCCTGCCTCAGTTTCCCCATCTGTAAATTCAATTAACATTCGTAGTTTCAACTCACCAGGTTGGCATGTCTCCTTGTTCTCTGTGTCTGTCTACTGCAGGGTGACTTCGAAAGGAGCTGCCATGTGGTTGGGGCTTGGCCATGTGCGGTTGGAACCAACGAGAGGCGGGGAACCAGGAGTTTGCACATGTGCCTCTAGCAAGGAACAGACCCCATTGTGGACAACTGTCGTGCAGCGTGGGGCGTGTGCGTGGGGCGTGTGCGTGGGGCGTGTGCGCGGGGCAGTGACACCACCCAGCTCCTCTGCTCCCACATCTCCACAGCCGTTCAGCAGTGAGGTACAAGGGAAAACACGGAGTCAAGGTGTCAGGCATTCAGGAGCCCCCCTGAGAATTTGGTCTGAAACTACATAGCTCAGACTTCTGCCTTCCTCCTCCCTGCTTCTTATTAACTATTAAAAACCAAACCAAAATAAAAAAAATCAGCTTTACTGAGATACAATTCACATGCCTCGCAAGGTGTGTGACACAGTGTGACTCTTTATTGAGTTGCACATTGAAAACCATAGTTGGGCCCAACGCGATGGCTCAGTGGCTAAATCCTCACCTTGCAAGAACCAGGATCTTATATGAGTGCCAGTTCCTGTCCCGGCTGCTGCACTTGTCATCCAGTTCCCTGCTTGTGGCCTGGGAAAGCAGTAAAAGATGGCCCAAAGTCTTAGGCCCCTGTACCTGTGTGGGAGACCCAGAGGAGGCTCCTGGCTTCGAATCAACTCAGCTGGGGCCATTGTGGCCACCTGGAGAGTGAACCAGCAGATGGAAGATCTTTTTGTGTTTCCTTCGCTCTGTAAATCTACCTTTCTGATAAAAATAAATAAATCTTAGAAGAAAGAAAGAAAATCACAATTTTAGGCCATTATATAACCTTAAAAAGAAGTCCTTTAGTTGACACCATTCTTGCTTACCCCCAGCTTTCCATTCCCCAAATCCTAGCCAACCACCAGTCTTGTTCTCATCCATGGATTTACCGATTCCAGACATTTTCCATAAATGGAAGCAGGTGATCTGTGTGTGCCTGGTTTCCCATACAAACCACTGTTTCCCAGGGGTGTGTGGTAACTCCTACTTAACTGCTGAGTAGTAAGCCAGGGCAGGACACAGAACCCAGTAGAACAGCACATGCGTATACCATTTTTATCAATCCCTCAAGCTGATAGCTTCCACATTTTTGCTCACCTGATTGATGCTGCTGTGATGTTCCTGCTGACCCTTAGGAGGACGTGCGCTCCCAGCTCTCACTGCCATGGCAGCTCAGTATTGATGAGCCAAGCCTGTCACTGCCTTTCTCAGGCCTTGGTGGAGCAACTAGGACTGCAGGCAGCAAAGAGACTCACAGCTTCAGAACCCAGGGCCTGGGAAAACAGCTTCTCTGCACACCTGCATCCCTTCATACTGGCCTGCCAGCACCTGCCACAGGAAGTCAACTTGAGTCCTTTCCAATGCCTAATCTGCCATCAACTGGCTTGAAGATAGGGGGGTATGGAATGCTACCAATGGGTGCTGTAACATCCTGGCCTTTTTCCACAAGGGAAACATGACCCCAAATCCTAATGCCACCGACTGGCATGGCCTGTGGCCCATGCAGACTGCACATGAGCAGAAGCACGTAGCACGCCATCTTTTGCGCTGGCCTCTTGCCCCACGTCCGGTTCAGGAGATCCATTTTGCAGCTGCATATCATTATGAGCCTATGTTCTCAAGGCTGGGTGCATCACCATGTCTCCTGTCCGGGCCTGCAGGGGAGGGAGGCAAGGAGGCTGGGAAGAGTCTCAGCTGCAAGGCACAACTGCTTCCAGGGGGCCCAGCTCAGCCCTCCACCCTCAGCCCCTCCTTGGAACTTATCGGCATTCTGTTATTTTGGATTTGGCTTGACGCTGTGGGGTGAGCTGGCGGGCATCCTAGTTAAACAAGAGCAGCTGGACAGGACATTAGGAGTGGGAGGACAGCCCTGTCAGACCCTTAACTCCTGTAGGAAGGCTGCAGAGCTCATGTGAAGGCCCCCGATCCAAGCCCCTTGTCCCGTGATGGGTAGGCAGGGAGGCAAGGGTTCAGGCCAAAACTGGGTTTCTCTGGCTTAGATCCTGTGCTGGGGAGGGCAGGCCACCCCAGAGAGGTCCCACGGGTCTGCAGCTGTGTGCCTTTGGGCAAATCGCTTAAGCTTTCTGTGTCTCAGGTTGCTTATCTATAAAACCGGGCATACAATCTAGCTTCCAGAAACCTCCAAAAGCTACAAGAGCTTGGCAAAGCCTGCACTGCAGCCCTCGGAACTTTCTGCTCTGCACAGGTAAGAGCCGACATGAACTGACATGTGTTCTACATAAATACAGCTCTTGTTTCTCTGTTTTTAAGAAAGCTTTCCTGTTCCAAGAGGCAGTAAATGTGCTTTTGAGCCACAAGGAACAAACAGAAATAAGAATGTTTGTCTTTCACATACAAACAAGGAAGGTGTGGAACTGCCCAGCAGAGGTCTTTGTACGGGCCCTGCCTTGGGTGACCTGGCTGTGGCAGCCCTGCCCACTCTCACTGGGAGCCAGTCAGGTCCTGGAACCAGAGCAGGCAGCCTTGAGTCTGCTCAGTGGCCCCCTTTCCAGGAATGCACCCTGGCCCTGCCTCTGCCCTTGGCTGCTCCAGAACATGGGGCAGGCCCCCATGGAGCTATTCCTAATGGGAAAGGTACACCAAGAGGACCTGGAGGTCAGGGCACAGGCTGCAGCCCAGGAACACTGTACCAAAGAGGACTCCTTAGAGCAGGTTTAGAGGGCTGAACAGGAGTTTCTTGGGTAGAGAAGATGGCGAGGGTGTGCTAAACAAAGCAAATGGCAATAGGTACCAGCCACACCATCTCTTCCTGGCTTGCCCATCTCTGGTTTCCAGGGGCCTGAAAGTGGAAGATGACTGGGTTCTGGGTGGGAGCTGCCGGTGGGGAGAGGTAAAAGGCAGGAGGAGCACCTCTGGCCATGGCTAAGCCATCTTCTGTATATTGTAGAGTTTGTATTGCATCTACTCATTCCCAGGCTGGCAAGGACAGCGGCCCTGTGTGAGGTGTTGTCGGAACGTGGGAGTTTCCAGTTCCGTCCCCATTTCTGGGTCACATCTTTTTTCCCATCTGCTCCCCAAAGCTGAAACAGCAGGTGCCTTCTGGGTTTTCCCAGCTGTTTGGTCATTAATAGGTACCATACTCCAATCACCTAGGACAGCCCCAAAGTGTAGACTCAAGGGACAGAGGGCTCAGCATCCAGAAAATGTGGTACTGTGTCTTTTTTCTCTTTTTAAAGATTCATTTTATTTTTATCAGAAAGTCAGATATACAGAGAAGAGGAGAGACAGAGAGGAAGATCTCCAATCTGCTGATTCACTCCCTAAGTGGCCACAAAGGCCGGAACTGCACTGACCTGAAGCCAGGAGCCAGGAGCCTCTTCCAAGTCTTCCACATGGGTGCAGGATCTCAAGGCCTTGGGCCATCCTCTACTGCTTTCCCAGGCTACATACAGGTAGCTAGATGGAAAGTGGAGTTGCCAGGATTAGAACTGGCTCCCATATGGGATCCCGGCACATGCAAGGAGAGGAATTTGGCCATTAGACTACTGTGTCGGGTTCGATACTATGTTTTCATCTCCATTTACAATGTATTTGTTTTCAGACACATACACACAGAAAGAATTTGTCCACTGGCTTACTTCCCAAATGCTCATGGCAGCTGGTAAGTGGGTCAGCCAGAGCCAGGGGCTGGAAACTCCATCCAGGCCTCCCACATAGGTGGCAAAGACCCAAGTACTTGAGCCACCATCTGGTGCCTCCCATGGTACTCATTAGCAGGAAGCCGGAATTGGAAACTGAGCCGCGGGACTCCAAGCAGGCACTCTGACGTGGGATGTGTCAACACACGCTCCATCTAGACTGCTGAGTAGAGCGCTTGCCTCACTATGATTCCTTTTGGATGAGGGTGCTCTGAGGGCAGGGGCTATCACCGCACCTGTTGACTCAGCAGATGCTGTTAGGGCCTCAGCAGCTGGGGGAGGGAGGTGGAAGAGTTGGGTGTGGTGATGGGGTGGTTGGCATGGGGGGGGATGATGAGAGGAGTGACCAAGTGCCTATACCCCTCAAATCCCTGTGACATCCCATACAGCAGCAGCAGCCTGACAGGGCACAGCCGGGTTGGCTGTCAGCTAAGACACACACTGAATTAGCACGAAAGGAAGGATGCAAAAAGTTCCATTGATAATGTTTATATTGATTACAAGTAGAAATAGTATTTTGCATATCTTGGGTTAAATAAAACGCACTATTAAACAACCCAGGCCATGCCTGGGAAAGCAACAGATGACCCAGGTGCCACTTGGGACCATGCACTTGGCTCCTGGTTTCAGATCTGCTCAGCTTTGGCCATGGTGACCAGTTCAGGGGTGAACCAGCAGGTGGAAAATCACACACACTCTCACTCCGTAACTCTGCCTTTCAAATAAATAAATCATTGAAAAATAAAACCAAGTCCTCTGTTCCTTTATACTCTCTTTAATATGGGAGCTGCTGGAAAATTCTCAATCCCACATGGGTATGTGGCTGGCATGTTGTGGCTCACATCACTCTTGTAGTGGGTTATGCTGCTCTTGAAACACATTGATTGACCAAATCAGCATTTATTCATGTTTATTTAAGAGATATTTCAGATAGGATGAGGAAGGAGGCAGATATGGACTTAAAAATTCACTGGGATAAATGGGTCCATATTTTAGCATTTGAGGGGCTTGAGAAGTAGTCAAGGAGGCCTTCACAGAAGAGGTGACCTTGTTGTTAGGCATGATAGGATGAGTAGGAGTTGGCAGTTCAGTAAGGATGAGGAAGGGCACTTGTGGCTTGGGGAACTTCACATTTGGAAGATAGGAGATAGTCACCTGCACAGGGTGTTTAAAGGGTGTGGAAGCCCACTGCTGTCCAAACATGGTGGAAGGGGCTGGAGATGCGGCCAGAGCGGGAACAGCCTTGCATGCCCATGAAGCTGAATCCCAGGGTAGAGGTGGAGGCTGTTAGCTGGGAATATGGCTGAGCGAGCCCACCCTCTTCCCTCCAAAGCTCAGGAGCAAGCAGACCTTGCTTGAGTGTGACAAACAAGCTCTTTTATTTCAATGCTTACTCCTTGTGGTTCAAAAGCACTGCCTGCTGGGAGAACCCCAAAGCTTACGAAACCAGAGACAGAGCTAGGTAAACGGAACAGACACATGTTGGCTCATGTTGTGATTCTTCTCCATGCGAAGCAGAGAAAACTCCAAGTGCACCTGTGTGGTTTTGTCCAAGTTCCTCTCTAGGATTTGGGGGACCCCAGTGACTGTGACTTCATCCCTCCCACACCTCTGGTCTAGCCTGAGGGAGGCCCAGTTCTATGGAGCGGAGATAAAACCAGATAGGACAATTGTGATTGGTGGGGCCCGGGGTGCTGACCCACTGGGGAGGGTCCAACATGCGTGGCTGAGGTGCTCGGAAGGCTGGACGTTCGTAGTGAGCAGGCTCATGGGGAGGACAGGGCACCAGGGGCTCTCAGCTCTAGGACGGGGACCTGACAAGAGGCACCTGGCTCAGCAGGGTGGGTCACCTGGCTCAGCAGGGTGACAGGGTCACGGGTTCATGCTCAGAAACACTGTGGGCCAGGGGCCCAAGGCTCGCTGGAGCAGGAAGTGGACCCTGGCGTCATGTGAGAGGCTGGGTCACAGAGCACCAGAGTCGAGCACTTCCATGACGCTGCTGGCCCAGGGGTGAGGGGCATGGAACAGGACCGCAGGGGGGATGGCAGTGCCAGGCCAGACTTGGGGCTGAGCCACAGCCCTGTTCCCACCCCTTACCCCCTCCTGAGTCTCTCCAGTCCTCCCACCGCTGTCTCATTCCTCCTCGGCCCTTTCTGACCAGGTCCCAGATGTGCTTTCTGTGACATTCTCAGGCCAGGGCTGTAGTTAACTGCATGTACCAGACTCTGAGACAGAGCTCTCTGGATCAGCTTCCGGGCCCTCATACCACCCGCGGGCGTGGGCTGTGATTGTCTCCCCTCTTGGAGCTGCAGCACCTTCCACAGGAGGCAGCCCCCTCCCATTTCCATAGCTTTCTGCAATGAGTAAATGGGTTGGCAGCCCTGTGAGCACCATCAAGGTGCACTTGGCACACAGCAGGGTCTTGTGCGGAGCAGGTGGCGATCGGCGGGTCAGGGCTGCTGGAATGCAGAGGGGAGCTTGGTCCAGACCTCTCCCCTAGCTCCATCTGGCTCTGGCTCTCCCAAGGGCCCCTCCGGTCTGGGTGCGTTCTGGAGAGGCAGACAGGACACACTCCAGGGTATGGAGTTCCTTCAGCCAGGCAGCGGGCTAAGAATAGATCAAACAATCTGGTGGCCATCAAGGGCTTCCCCAGTGCACTCCCTGCTCCCCAACCCCTGTGCAGGCAGCCAAGGTCAGGATTCCCACTGTGATGACAGAGTACATTCCTCACAGTTCAGGGGCATGTGTGGGAAATTAGGCCAGTAGGGCATGAAAAGCACAAGCTGAGAACATCCCACCCCAAAGGGTCCCCCGGGCAGCCTACCCCTATCCTGGGCTTTGGGCCCAAAGAGGGGGCAGAGTCACTCATGAGCTTGGGATAAAGATTAGGATCAAACTGGGGCTCTCTGCAGGCTGCAGGATGAGGCACGCAGGTCCCTTAGGGGGGTCCGATGATGATGTTCCGGAAGCCCTTCACGGACTTGAGTTTGTCGCTCTCAAAGTTCACCACCAGCTTGTTCAGACCCACATGCAGCGGCAGCAGGTCCACCCTCACCTTGACCACCTCCCCCGCCTCCACGGGGTCCGAGCTGCAGAGAGAGACAGGAGGAGGATGAGGAGGAGGCCCAGACACAACTGCCTCACGGTGGGCTCCGGCCTGGGTAACACCGAGGACTTGGCACGGAGCTACCATGAACACACAGCTGACACCAGCAGGAATGCAGGGTCCCACTCAAGGCTCTTGGGGACCCTAGACAGCCTGACCTCTTACTGAGCATAGTGTGTGCCATGTGGGCAGTACCCTCGGGGCGGGGACAGGGATGTGCGGGTGGTCCCACGGGGGCAAGTGCATTGCTATATACAAACATGCTGTGCCCTTTACTGCACAGGCAGGGGAAGTTACATTGCAATAGAAAAGTAAAAAATAAGAAACAGGAGCAGCACCACTTGGGCTGCCTGCATCCCACATTGCAGTGCTTGGGTCCCGGCTACAACCCCCATTCTAGCTCCCTGCTGGGGCACACCCTGGGAGGCAGCAGGGCATGGCTTGAGTATTTGAGCCCCTGTCACACCGTTTATGACTCCCAGCATCAGCCTGGCCCAGTCCTGGCCATGGTCGGCATTTAGGGAGATGGAAACTCTGTCCCTTTATCTTCCCTCAAAAAGTTTATGGAAGATGGACTTAAAATAAGCTTATTTGGGTACAAAAAGTTTTTTGAAATCCATGCATAGTTTTTACATTATATACATTTTCTACAAACTTGTTGGGCACTCTTATTTGTGAAGGCACACACAGAACACAGCCCACATGATGTGAGTGTTAAGAGGGGAAGTGGACATTCCACCCCAAAGCGATCTGGGAGTGGGCACAGGGTTCAGCGCCTGGAGGTAGCCCAGCCCCCTCGGGCTCCTCCAAGCTCCCACAACAGCTGCAGGCCCCCACACTCACATCTCCACTCTCAGCTGCTCCTTGGTCAGGCCAGCGCCCTCCACCGTGAAGCAGCAGCCTATCAGGGGCACGGAGAGCGGGTTCTGCATGGACACCTCGGCCACCAGCTTACGGTTCTGCTTTGGCTCTCCCAGGACCTGGAAGGAGGCATGGAGGAGGCAGGGGTCAGGGTAAGTGGGTGGAGGCACAGTGGGCAGGGGTCGGGACAGGTGGAGGCAGCCTGGGCCACCTCCACAATGCTGGCTGAAAAAAACATACCCAGCCCTGTCACTGTCACTCCCTACTCTGTGCCTCAGTTTCCTCGTCTGGGAAGCAGCAGGTGGTGACACATGCTCAGGTTTCCTTTGTGGAGCTACAGTGGGGTTCCGTGTGACCCCTGGGACATACAAAGTACCGCTCCTGTCCAGGGTCTGGAGTGAGTGACAGGTGCTCACTGCCCTTCCCTCAGCAGGTGACTGACTACTTATTGTAACTGCTGCCTATGGGGGTGGGAGCCTGACTCCTCCAGGTAAGTCACCATGATGACAATGGTGATGGTGGGAGGAGCAGCTAGCATTTATTAAGCTTTTCTCTTGAGCTAGATAGGACTCTAGATGCTCCCCGTGTATGCACTGCTAATCCCTAGGAGCTAGCATAACCCCATTTGGCAGATGAATAAGTCAGGACATAGAGGCAAAGTAACATGCTCAGGGCAAGCACAAGTAGTCAGACACCAGAGTCGGTACCCTTCACTTCCAGCCTGTCCCTGTAGGGTCACCGAGGTCCTTGGGCAGTGTTGCAGCCTTAGAATACTTCGAAGACCTTCGAGCCTCAGGACCTAGCTTCAATGAATGATGCTACAGAACCCCACTCTTTTGGGTTTTGTGGTGCTTGCCCTAGATGATGCTGGGAGATGGGTACTCCTGGGGCACCAGTGGGCCTCGTGAAGGTGCAGGTATGTCCCATCTTTGCCTGCCCCTCCCTACCCCCGCCTTGTCCAGCCTTGGCCTCACCCGGATCTTGATCTCAGGATTCTCCAAGTAGATGTCCCTGTGGGCCAGCACGTAGCTGTTGGTAGCCGGCTCGATGAGGAGGCCCTGCACCTTGATGAGGTTGGACTCGGTCAGGCAGTCCCCGTACTTCTCGTAGAGGATGCGAAGAGGGATGCTATTCTCTGCAAGGAGGAGGAGGGGGTGAGGGTACACGTGATAGCAGCCACATTCCCACACAACTCCACGAGGCTACAGGAGGCTACACAGTGGTGGCAGCTGGGCACCTGCCAGGCCTCCCCAGACCTGCCCTGGCTCCAAGGAGGCTCCAACAGGTTTGGGTTCTAATCTTGCTTCTGACAGGTGACCTTGACCAAGTCCCTCCATGCCCAGCTCCTGAGTTTGCAGCTTGGTACCGGAAAGGTACTCACAAAGCTGTGGAGAGGCTTAACTAGGTGGGGGTAAAGAAGTCCCTGCCCACAGCTAGTCTGGTGCTGCATTGTGGGGGCGGGAGGAGGGCATTGGAGCTAATCTGTGGCTAGATACTACCTCCCACTGCCTCTCCTTCCCCTTGCTCACCATGCTCCTGGGAGCCTGCACTTGTGTTATCACATAGCTTACAGGGAAAGCTGAGGCCCAGGCGGTGCAGTGACACTGCCTGGGTTGTGCACCTTTCTGGGGAATAATCCAGAGCCCAGCAGCATAATCTGCCCTCATGGGAAGCTCCCCTTGACAAGACTGCATCCATTTTATGAAAACATACTTCCACCCCAGATGCTCCAGGGAGACTTGGCTATTGATCCTGTTTGACCACTGCCTGGCTATCGGAGACAGGGTTGGGTGGGAGACAAAGATGGCAGAGCCAATCCCTCCCACTCCAGACTAGCAAAGTATAGTTTTGAGCCCCATTTTTTTTTTACAAGAACACTGAGGCCCAAGGGCTCCCCTTCTCTCCCAGCATAGAGACTCCTGGGCAAGTCCCTTGGCTCCTTGGGCTTCCGTGGCAAGCAGAGGCCCTGGGTAGGGTGAGGGTGGGAGGTGTTCTATGAGGCTCCCAAGTGTTGGTCAACTTCTCAACTTTTTTTGTCATAGTCACGGTCAGCGGCATGGTCCTGCAGGCAGGAACCAGTGCCATATGGACAGCAGGGACGCTGCTGCCTCTCTTCTCAGCCTTCTGTCCCCTCCCTCCCCTCACCAAATCAGTGCTTCCCAAACTCCAGCTGCTTGACTTGTCCACACATCACATGCATTCTCATCGTGGGCTCCTGATCTTTCTGTAAATGGACTGATCCTCTTTGGCCCCACTGTGTTCACAGAAACTCTTACCTGCACAAGCCAGTCCCATTTCCCGTGAATAACAGCTGACCAACCTGCAAGCTCATGCTATGCTATACTGTGATCTGTGGGGGGCCCCTAAGGTAAGGAACTGCGTGTGTGCAGCTCAAGGGTGACAAGCAAGGGCCGGGAAACCACGGACTGGTCAGCACTTGTGGAAACTTTCTCACACGCACATGGGTGGTCACCTCCCCTCCCTGTGAGAGTGTGGTGAAGGCCTCTCTGGAGCACAGAGCAGTTCCAACCTCTGACCAGATGACGTGAGCTGGGAGCATGGGGTGGAGAAACCAAAACCTTGGTGCCACCAAGGGCAGAAGAAAGAAGTGGAAATGACCGCGTGGGGCCCAGGGGAGCCAAGTGGAAATTCTGAACAGCTCCACAGGCAAGGAGGTAAACATTGGCCGCCAGGAGCCTCCCGCTGTTCACTTTTCCAGAGGCGGGAGCCCAGACAGGACCTGACTCCTGAGAGCCGCCGCCCATGGCCTGTGATGGTAGCCTTGGCCTGGGGCCGGATGAGGGCTGGCAGGATAAAAGGTGTGTGCTCGTTCAGTCTCTATTGATTCCTGAGATGATGTGCCCTGCTCTAGGAGGTGCCCTGTGGACGCTGGCTGGGGCCACTTGGGCTGCACTTCCACTGCTGCCTAGGGAGGTATGGGAGGAGAAAGGGTGAGGGCAGGAAGGGAGGCAGCAGCAGAGGGGGAGGAGGCAGGGCCAGGGGACATCTGGACTCCGGTCAGTGGTCCCGGGCCTGGCTTCCTGTGCATGAGCACATGGAAAGCCCCCAGGTCTTATTGCCAAAGAACATTAAGCAATGCAGATGTTGTGTGGGGGTGCAGGAATGAAGGAGTTGCCCTCGGGGCCAGCTCAGCTTTGCAGAGCCCACCAAGAGCCAAAAGGTGGCACACAGAACTCTGCCCAGGCTGGGCCCCTGTGCTGCAGGCACATCCCCAGGATAATGAGAAAACCTGAGAACAGGGAGGCATGGCCAAAGCCAGAGCAGAACAATGCTCCTGGCGCTGACTGACAGTTGATGGTATCTGGGAGGGAGTTGTTTGGCAGCTGAAGCCCAGGCCTGGGTTCAGCACATGCCATACATTCCAGGAAAAATGCTGGCTACACACAGGAGCTTACAGGGGAACAGAGGCTGCAGGCAGGCAGGCGCTCAGAGGTCTGCAAAACGGGCCTGTCTGGGCACACCCAGGGCAGCAGAGGCCTGGAAGGGACGGAGAATAACCCAGAGGCCACAGCCAGCCAGTAGGACAGTGTGGGAGCTAGGACATCAGCATGCTGACTGCGTGTGTGTGCACACACACAGCCTGGCTCTAGGGCCTGCAGGCAGATGTGAAGGGGGTAGGGGACTCAGGAACCATGGAGCCCAGAGCCGCCAGCACTACCTGGGACCACTGCTGAGGAGGAATATATCCTCCCCATGGCTCTTCTCATTCCTGCCAAGCACCTGAATACCATCCCCTGGCCAGTACCACTTTGCACTTTCCAGACATTCCTTGAGAACCCCTCTTTTCTCAGTCCTCACAGGCGAATATGCTATTGTCCTATTTCACAGATGGGCAGAATTGAGGTTCACACAGTACATTCGTCTTCCCCAAGGCTGTGTCTTTATGAGATGGCACAGGCAAGATGGAAAGTTTCTCAAAGCATCTTTCAGTAGTGTGATTATTGGTGCCTTGGCCCAGGGTACCATGGGGCTCCGCCCCGACAAGGGGCACTGCCTGGGGCCTGAGGGCAGCTGCAGGAGTGCCCACAATCTGCCCATGAGGGAAAAGCCAGGAGGCGGCACTGGCAATGTTACAGGGCTCCAAGCTAAAACAGAGAGGCTTTCTCGGGCACTCAGAGGCTATGCCAGGTGCACCAGCCCACAGCGGTCAAGGGCGGAGGCATACGTGACCATAGCAACGAGGGAAACTAGCACTGGCTTGGCAGCAAGGAGGAGAGGTAAAAGAGCAGACAATGGAGGCCATGATCGCAGAACTGAGCCCATCTGGATTCCCACCTGCGCTCCCCCTTGGGTCCTGGGCATTGAGTGCCTGCTGTATTGCTACCTTACGCCCAACAAGTTCCACACTGTCAGGTCTCAGCCCCAGTATGTGTGGTAGGGACCTGAGGCTCACAGAGGTGGTCCTCTGCCCTGGTGGACAGAGTCCCAAGAGCAGTGTCGTGCTTTATGTGCCTCAAAGACAATAGCTCCATGCCCCAAGGCCTCATGCCAGGTGGCACCTGCCCAGCCCCAGTGGAGAGGAGATAGAATTGCACTTCTGGTGGTAGGGAGATATATACATTCACTGTGGGACCTGCAAGTCTAGAGACAACTATAGGAGGATAACCAGGCATTGTGACAAAGCCAGGCAGCCAAAGAGACCAAGGGGACCCAGAAGCTTGCACGATGAGGTTCTTGTGGGACCGAGGGCTGTGCCAGCTAGTGCTACTGTGTCCCTGGGATGGCATCTGCCCAGCCTGGCAGTCAAGTCAGCACTGGAACCATTGGAGAGACCAGACCAGGGGAGAAGACACCCTCTACCCCAACAGGCCTGGACACCCCATTTCTGTCACCATCTGAGCTCTTTTGTCCAATGTGGCAGCTTTCAGCCACAAAGTGGCAACTTTACCTCATGTTATCAGAACTGGCATACTGTAGTGGCACCAGCAGGCAATGGGGACTTGGAGCTGGAAGAGCAGTGTCAACCACACAAAGGCAGGAATGGGGACCTGCACCAGACAGCCTGGTGAAGAGGTTTTCCCCGCCACCACAGGGAGCTTTGGGCCGTGCCAGTTGCAGCCTTCTCTCTCTCAGTCCAAAGCATCCCCACAACAAGACAGGGGTTGGCATGCAGGGGCTCCTCCTGAGCCAGGAGCTGGGGACAGGGGCAAGGAGCCAGCCAGGAGGCCAGGAAAAGGACCAAGAAAGCAGGTGGGGTCATGGGAATGAAACAAGGTAAAAATCAAAAGTAGGAGAGCTCTTGAGAGAGCTCCTGGAAAAACTTACATTAAGAAGGGATGATTTGAAAAATGTTTGCCATAATAACTTCCATTTTCCATGAACCTTTTCCTGAGAGGTCACATTCAAATCCCAATCCTGTCACTTCCTGACTCTGTGACCTCGGGGAAAATGGCTGAACTTCTTTGTGCCCCCCATTTCCTCAGCTGGCAAATGGGGCAGTGATGGAATCCACCTACTGTGTTCATGATAAGAACCAAATGGGCTGTTATCTGCACAGGGCTTGAAACAGGACCCCACCCAGAGTTAAGGCTGCACAGTGCCAGGTGAGCCACACACACACCCGAGCTGCCCCCACTCTGTGCACCCCTGCAGGGTGTCAGGGGCATTGGGCCTTACCAGAGAAGGGCTCCAGGATGAGGTTGAGCAGGTCCTTGGTGCCACACTCAGGGCCCAGCACCCCGTTGTAGCTGACAGTGCGCGCACACAGCACAAGGCGGCAGGTGCGCTCCTCGGCCGTGTCGTTGTTGATATAGGCAAAGACTTCGAAGTCGCTGCCCATGCTCATGCTCTGGGCCACGCGGATCCGCATAGCCACCCCCGTCTCCTCTTTCGTGGCCAGTTTGTTCAGATGGTTGGCTCTGGTGAAGGCATCCCTCTCTTCTTGGGACCCTGGTGGGGAAAGCAAAGAATCCCACTTACAGCTGGCATAGGGGTATAGGGGAAGGAACCAGGCACTGGCCTCTAAGAGTCCTGTGACCCCAAGTCCCCCCTCCCCTCCTTCCTTCTCCAAGAAGAGGACAAAGGATCCCTCCCTACACATAAGTCAACTGGTATGGATCCCTCAGGACCCAGCGCCTAAGGACTCCTCCAGGATTCCCTAGGCCATCTGGAGAATCTATGTCTTTAGCCTCCAGGGCCAAACCTGAGTTTTTCTTATTTATGCCCCATTAGTAGTATCTACGGCAGTGCTGGCGCATCCTCAGCGTGAACATGCCACAGACTTGCTCAGCACGAGCATTTACTATGAGATCTATTCCACCCCAAACACCTTTCCTCCGCTCTCTGCTGCCCGTCTCTCCAGGCGGTCTGGGTCCTCCCTATTTCATGTCTTGTTTACCTCTCTCCTGGTACCTTGTGTTTCTCCCCGTGTTAGTGGGTACCTACTGTTTTTTTTTTTCTGGCAAGTCTCAGCTTGAGACTTCTCCTAGGCTGGGGAAAACATAGCATTTCCTTCTGCTTTGTCCCCTGTCCCACTGCCACCAGCTAAACATGGCCACATAACACCCAACCCTCACTCAGGTGAGAGGAGGGTGGGACCGTGGTTCCTCAGCCACCCCTGAGTGTGGCAGTCATGGATGCTTAGAAATAACTATCATGTGAAGTTGGGTGTTACCTGTGCCCAAATTCTTTTTTATAAAAAATAAACCAAATCTGTCTTCCCTGTTACTAATCATAATGTGAGTAGCAGAAATGACCCTGCCCTGAAGCTTCTCATGACATATCCACTGTTCCTCTTCAACTGTATACCTCCCACCTGCACGTTCCCCTCCCTGGCTGCATGTCTAACTGCAAACTAACTGCTGTCCCCTTCTAGGAAACTCTCCTCGGACTCTCAAACACTTCTACTATAGTCTGTGGTCGTGAGCACCTACCCTCTGGGTACTTATAGTTGTGCGTGATGTCCTGGCGTTCGTCACGGCCCACGCTCTTGGTACTGATATTCAGCCCCACCACCTGGGAACGGTTGACGGATTTGTGCATGGATCCATCCTCATGCTGGATCCAATCCACCACGTCCGCGTTGACCTCAGCGAAGACAAAAGGCGCATCGTATTTGGTGCTCAAGTCACCCTCCTTGATGGCGCGAACTGGGACGGGGCCGCAGCAGTAGGTCCCTGAGGGGAGGAAAGGAAGAGGTGGGTTGGGGTTGATGGGAGGGAAATATCCTCCTCCAAATGCTACACAACAGGAAAGCCTACTATAGGCCATGCGACCCATTGACTAGGGGGGCGGGCACTATGCAAGGAGGGCTTAGAACACAGAATGAGCTCTCAAGTGCCAGCTTGACCTCTTATTAGCTGTGTGACTAAGGCCATTCCGTTTGTGGGAGGCGAAATTTGGGTCAGGAGTTATAGACAAAAAGCTCTCAGCACAGGCTCCCCTCGGCAATGATGACATCCTATACGTGTGCCAGTCTGAGCTCCAGCTCCCCATTAATGTGCCCAGGAAAGCAGCGGAGGGTGGACCTGCACCCACTCGTGAGATCTGGAAGAAGCTCCCCAGCTCCTGGCTTCAGCCTGGCCCAGCCATGATATTGTAACCATTTGGTGATTAAACCAGAGGATGGAAGATCTCTCTGTATCTCTTTTCCTCTTTGTAACTTTGTCTTTCAAACAAATTCAAAAAACACCCATAAGCTCTCAGCACACACAAAATGCCATACACAGACTGAGTGAAACTGAAGTTTATCCCCTAAGGAACTTACAGAGCAGCAGGTAGCCCATTAGGAGGGCGTGCGCCTGTGCCAGGTACTGCTCATGCTGGGAGCTGAAGGCAGTGCTTAGCCCCAGGTAGAGTGTGTCACCAAAGGAATGTGACAACGGATGTTTATCTCAGGGTGGTTTGCAATCACCTCATCTGGCACATAGTCTTAAATGCCCAGGACTTGAGCTAGGTAGGCATGTCCTAACAGCTCACGAGGTGGCATACAGCAATATAAACTAAAACTCAGATGGCAGAAAGCCATCCGGTGGGGAAATGCTAATGCTGCGTTGAGAATGAGCTGCACCAGGGAACAGGGTAGCAGGAAGCAGGCTCCTTAGGCGGGGCCCACAGACCGCAAAGCCACTGCTAGCGGCGTCCTAGGGGCCATGAACTTGAATGGGAGAAACCATGCAGTTTTTACTTCCAGTACAGCTTGATGACACATGCTTCTATTGAAAAAGCAGATGTTAAACGTAACTAGCCTTAGGAGTGCATGTGATTAATCAGAGATAGGGACTGGCATTGTGGCACAGTTAAGCCGCCACATCCAGCACCCCTTCCTGTCCTGGTTGCTGTGCTTCCCATCCAGCTCCCTGCTAACGCACCTGGGAAAACATCCCAAGATGACCCAAGTGCCTGGGAGATCTGGATGGAGTTCTAGGATCTTGGCTGTGACCTGACCCCACCCTGACCATTGTAGCCATTGGGGGGGTGAATCAGAGGATACAAGATCTCTCTCTCTGTAACTCTGCCTTTCAAATAAATAAAGTACATCTTTCAAAAAAAAAAAAAAAAAAGAAAGAAAAAGGAATCACATTTGCAGGCCACCTCGCAGTTCTCACAGTAGCAGGGACTGTCACTTGCATGCCTTTCCCATCCGCGATAGAGGCTTCCTAACCCACCGCTAGACCTTGCTACATGAAGACAAATGAGACACGACTTTCTTTCGGGGGGTCTTGTGATACCTTGCTGGTTTTCCTTTGAATCCCATGCTTTCCAGTCAATGCATTTTGAAACACTCTGGGAGGGGGTCCAGATGTGTTGCCACACCTTGCACAGGCATCCCAGCATGCCTTGCTCCCTTGTGTCTTCACTCACACATGTACAACAGATGTGTGATCTCTAGTTGCTGGCTGCTCTGTGCCTACCCACCTTCGCTCTTCTCCTGGGGTGTTGGGTCCAGGGCCTGCCACCCCTCGTAGCCGGGCTGCAGGTCAGGCCTGGTCATCCACGACTCCACCCAGCAGTGGAAGTTCCTGGAGGAGAAACAAAGCAGAAAGTCAGCAGTGCTCACTGCTGCCTCCTCCAGGCTGACTACTGAGCCCAGTAAGTTCCCAAATTCCATTCCCCTACTTCCCTCTCCCAGGCCTGTCTTCTCAGTCCTTCTCCGTCCCCACCCACCTGGTGGCTCCTCCTGCCTGGCTGATTTGACCCCTTCTCTTCTGGGTTCCCTCCCTCCCTTTCTAGCCCATGGGAGCCCCTAGTTCAGGCCTCACCACCACCAGCCTGGACCACAGCCCGGCCTCCTGTTCTGAATCTTCCCCTCTCCTGCTCCTGTCAAGGTCATTAGTACAGCTCTTTCCACTTCACAGTTTTGAGTGGGCCCAAGGCGAGCTCCCTCCTTCTGCCCTCAATTCCTAAAGCCCCATTCAAGTGTGACCTCTTCCAGGCAGCCTTCCTAGGTTTCCTCTCCACAGGGGTCCCAGATCCCACCTCACCAGATCATCTCGCTCTTGTCCCTCTGGAGGACCCCATCCTTATCGTGGAAGTACTCGATGAGCAGGTTGCTGTTCTGGTCATGAGCCGAGTTGAAATTGGTCACCACGCGAGTGGGTATACCCAGACAACGCAGCACTGTTGGGGAGACAGGGTTAAGGTTTCTACATGGTCACCTGTCCCTAGGGAACACTACCCCCTGTGTGGGTGCTAAGGTGTGCACTGTTCTCTCTCAGTCTGCCAAGGGCACCCTAGATCCACTCTGTACCCCTTACACCCAGCCATCAGAAGAAGATTCTAAAATGCTGCTGAGACATCAACACCTCTGAGAAACTCTTCAAGGGCTCTCAGTGATCCCTGAGGTCAACATCAGATCTCAGGCCATGAGACCGTTGGGCCACCTCCTTACTTACTGGCCTCAGCACCCCATGATCCTATCGGCCTCAGGGCACTGGCACATGCTGTTGCCTGGGCCTGGGAGGTTGCTGTGCCAGGCTTAACTGCCCCTTTGCTGGGGATTTTTCCATGCTCCCAATGTGGACACAGGGCTCTGAGTGAGTGTTCCAAGGACAGTAGGGTCAGTCCTGGCTGCAGTCAGGACCCCACCCCTGCACACATGCACTCACAGAGGGTGATGCAGGAGGGGAAGGATGGATGAATGAATGAATGAGTGAATGAGTTAATGAAGAAGTGACTTTCCCCAATGGAAACTCAGCAGAGCATGCAGAAGAGGGGCCAGAGGCTGAGAGGCCTGGCTGTTCCGGGGCTCATGCCTGGTCCCAGTCCCCTGGCCTCTTTGGGCCTTGTTCCCTTCTCCACGTGCATTTAGCATAGCTGACCACTTCTCTTGTTTCCAACCAATCTATGAGAATCCAAGTGTCCGTGACCCCAAAAAAACACAGTCAGGGCACAGATCAAGGACCCTGGCTTGGTGGGAAGTGCCCTGCATTCGCACGAGGGCCCCATTTGCTGGGAAAGGGGCTGATGCTATAATCCAGGGCTGAGCGAGGTGGGTGTGAGCCAGGCTAGTAGGGGCACCCACATGCTCTGCTCAGTTCCCTAGGCAAGAGCGTGTGACAGAAAGGGTGTTCATGACGGAGGGGGCCCCCTGAGGTCTGGCCCTAAGGGGCGCTGGGGATCTCCTGGCAAGGGGCTTGCTGGGCCTAACGCCCTTACTCTTAGATGTGCTTTTTGGCCTTTGCTGTCTGTTAAAGAAGTTGCCTATTCGCAGAGCCCAGTAAAGAGTAAGTATCAAAAAGGTGAAATGAAACAGAAAGTCTAAGAGATTCCAATCGGAGGGGGCTGTACTCTTTTTTTCTTTTGATTGAACTTGACTCTGGGGGAAGGGTGGGGACCTGACCTTTGTTCTACCCCCGTCCTCAGCCAGGGTGAGAACTTCCCAGATGGCCTTGGGTTTGCCACCGGAGACACATGGGCAAGGGAGAGGCAGGAATGGCCTTGACTGCCCCCTACCTCCTCTCCTGCCTCTCCCTGCTTCCCATGCCCTGGGCAGAGGCTGGACCCGCCACTCAGCCAAGGCTGGCGTCTCAAACCCCAGCTTGTCCTGTTTGTGACAGTTTCAGAGTAAAATGGGGAAGCCTGTCCCTGCTGCCCTCAAGAGCCAGCACCACTCCTGTTCCTCCCAGGGACACCCCAGCAAGCCTCAACAGCTGGAAGTTTAGCGAAAAGGCGGACCAAGGACCGGGCTGGCTCAGAACTGGCTGCGTAGTTGGCCAGCTGTGTGGCCTTGGGCAGGCTACTTCCTGTCTCAGAGCCCCCTCTTTCCTCCATAGAGAGAGTGCTAATTATAGCAGCCTGGGGCGGTGGTGCTGGGCGGGGTTGTCTGTTCTCCCAGTGCCCAAGATGAGCGCAGAGGAGGCACACCAGAACAGCAAAGCAGGTCACATGCTGATCGAGGCAAGTGTCTGTCCAGACAGACTCGGCTGAGTCATAGCAATGCCCAGGGTCCAGCGGAGGACTTGGGCATCCCAGACTTCCCAGGAAAACCCCCAAACCCCAAAAATCCCACTACTGTGGCAGCTTCAGGCAGCCCCCACCCAGGGTGACAAAAGCAAACACCAAGGCCTTCTGTAAGAACATCATGGGGAGGGGATAGGAACAGGGGACTCCCGCAAGGAAGGGAAATTCACAGGTCACAAGGGGCCGGTAGTCACAGGGGTCAGGAGGGGCAGGGGAAGGACAGAGGAAAGCCCAGCTGGAAGCCTTTGCCCAAGTTGACCACCTCCATGTGGCCTGCCGGCGTGGAGGACGTGCTATTGGGTGGGGGGGTACCCAGGGCCTTGCTCTGGGTCCCAGCACTGGCCATGGCATCTGGGAGCCCCAGATGAGCAGCTGCACCTTACTGAGCTGGGTGCTGACACAGGCAGCACTGGGCAGCATGGCATGAGTGCTGGCTGTTCTAAGGCCGCCACACACATGTTCATTTAGTCCTCACAGTCATGTCAGCCTCAGGGCCCCATCTAGGACCCCAGGGCTGCAGCTCAGAGCAGCAAGGACTTACCCATCCTCACCCAGATGGCACCTGCAGGTGGGTGGAGGCAGGGCTGAGATTTGACCATCTTTGCCATCAGCCTTGGCACGGCTGCCCACATTTGGGAGGTTTGAACAATCAATATTGCATTTTTAAGGTTTAATTTCTTTTTCCTTTTCTTCTCTCTTTTAGTTTCAAATTTGTTCTCTCTTCCTCCTCTGCATCGTAAAACATGCTCTCTCTTGATTTCTAACAGTGCTGCAGTGATCAACTAGTACAGTGTTCCCTGAGGACCACTCTGAACTGGGTTCTGTGCTGAAGTTTTATGTTACACCACCCTAGGAGGTAGGGACCGTGGCTGTGCCCATTTTGCAGAACAGAAAACCAAGGCTATAACACCAAAGCTTGAGGCAAGAGAATGGGAGAGTGGACATTCCTAGCTCAGGTGTACCTGGCTCCAGAGGCCTCCCTGGTCTCAGCCCTGAGCTCATGCTGCCTCCCACGTGATTCTCCTTGGTCCTAATGACTACCTGAAAGGTAGCTTTTAGACAGAAGACCAGAGAGAAGTGGCCGCAGACCTGAGGCCTCTCGGTTATGCCAGCAGTATCAGTGGCAGAGGCAGAAGCAGATCCCACGTGCCCTGAGATCCACTCTGATGCTCCCCAGAGCCCAGCTCACCTGTGCAGGCCACAGCAGCGAAGACCCAGCACTGGCCGTATTTGACCTGCTGGCAGCTGTATTTCTTCCAGCGCCTCAGGATGTCCACACTGCCGATCCAATACATGGGGCTGATGCCATCCGTGTAGTTGTTGTCCCAGCGGCCCTGCAGCACCCCGTTGTCGTCATTGCAGTTGACCTACAACCAGCAAGGGGTTACATGGGGACAAGGTGACATCCTCCCGCTCTAGTAGAGCATGAGGTCAAAGGCAGGGAAGGTGTCCCAGATGGTCAGGTACTGGGCAGACAGGGTGGAGGCAGGAGAGCCCTGGGGGCAAGGGGGAGGTGGGAAGCATTCAGGACCACAGCCGTGTGGTGGGGGATGTGAGACAGGGTGCCCAGGCCCACAAAGATGTGGTCATCCCCTCTAGGCCACTATAATGGTGAGAATAAACTCCAGGCTCCTGGCCACGCCTACGAGGTCCCACCCACTTTTGCACCTGCTGCCCCTCAGTGTATTCCTGCTGGTTGGTATACATGGGCTCGGTGCCCAGCTTAAGGAGGCCCTGCGGTCACTCTGACACACCGGGCATTCCCTCCTGTGTGTGTATGTGATGTGCAGCCTAGTTCACTGCTGGGCACTCACTCAGGTGGCTTCTCAAATAATAGGAGTCTCCTCCCACCTATCCACTAGCAGGCACGTACAATGAAGTTAGAGACACTCCCGTCAGCCCCTGCGGAGGCAGGCAGGAGACAAACATTTCCCTGAATAAATGAACTGCAGGGGATCTTATGGTGTCACTGTCCTTTGTTCAGATCTCTTCCTTTCTCTCCTGGGTGTCCCCCCACTACCCTCTCCCCGTTCAGCCCAGCTCGGAGCCTGCTGGGCACAGCCTTGACCCTGGGGCTGCCCCCTGCTACTCGGTCACTCACCATGACGCTCACCACCCGGCCCACATAGACTGGGCTACTGCGGCGAGAGCAGTCGCGGCTGGAGTTCTTCAGGAACTTGGGGTTCACATCCAGGAGGGTCAGACAGATATCCAGGATCTCATCTTCAAACTGTCAAACAAAAGGACGGTGAGAGGGCAGAGAAGCTGCCTCTTCCAGGAAGCCTGCCTTGAAGCCTCCCATAGCTGCAAATGTCCCCTAGCTCTGTGTCACACCTCTACCTGCGAAGCTGCGGCTGGGCCTGCTGCCTCTATGTGATGCGGGACAAGACCGACAGGACATGGGTGCATGGAAACCGGGACAGGGGCACCTACCAGCCTCTACGTGCCTGGCAGGGGACCTGGAACTTGGAGTAGAGTCCACATTGTTGGGATTTTCCTTCCTTGGAGTCACCGCAGACCCTGCTCCTGCCTCTGCTAGGCTTGCTGTGACTTTCCCAAAGGCCTGACTCACCTTCTAGAAGGTTGACAAGCAATGTCACCGCCACCACCTTGTGGGAAGCTGGCAGACCATGAAGCCCTGCCTTCCAGGACCCGCTCTGTGCACCGAGTCGTGCCTGACTTCCAGGTCCTGCCTGCTCTGCACAGCCCCACCTTGGCCATCTGCATTGCTATCATTGCTTTGATTTGGTGCTTGGAATGCTTTTCCAATCACACACCTACCCCCTTCCCTGGGGACCCCAGCTTCCCTGGGGACACATTTATAGAAGCCGCACACATTTATATGCCTCCCTGCCCTGTCCCACCCTGCCCAGAACACTAACCAGCCTCACAGCCCCCAAGGTCTCGGCCAACACTATGTGTGCTGTGTGACCTCAGGCCAGTCTGGGCCCTCTCTGAGCCTTCAAGCCATTCCAAAGCCCTTTAACCTTGTCTCCCCAACCCTGTCCCCTCACCCCAACAGCCTGCTGTCCCGCTGGCACGCTCACATCTCTGGCTCCCATGGTCGGAAGGGGCAGTGTATGGCCCTACCTGCCCGAAGTTCCAAGGGATCCTGTTGATGAACTTGGCTGAGCCCTGGTAGATGAAGCCCTGCTGGGTGAGCACATACTCGCGCCTCTCCTCCTCCGAGTCCAGGTACACGGCGTCCGCTGTGGGTGGGAAGGAGGGGGGCCTCAGTGCCAGGCATGGCCATGCCCTGTGGGGTGCCCACTTCCCTGGGTCAGGCCGGCCTCTCAGAGGCGCCTCTATTGCTGAATCAGTCGCCAGCAGTACCCCATTAAGGAGTCGAGAGGTCAGTGGCCCAAAGGCTGGCACTAACCTAACAAGCAGCCCAGGCCAGGGCCCAGGACAAACACACGGTGAGTGTTCACCCATTCAATCTCCAGCTGAGACTTAATGATGGACAATAGGGCCTTTGGAAGCTTCATTTCAGACATAGGGAAATTAACTCAAGCATAGTTTATGGCAGAGGAAACGGATGCCAAGCCAAGAGAACAGTGCCCAAGTGCCCAGACCTGGGACCAAGAAACCCCCATCCTGGTTCCCCACCTGGTACACAACCCTAGGTGGCCCACTTGGCCTTTTCCAGCCACCACCACTTCTCCTTGCAATAGCCTAAGCATGAGATGCGCCTGCAGGTGGGAAAGGCGCTTTGGAAACTAAGTCCTCAATCCAGCATGAGGAAGGAAGAGTAGGACCAAGTTGAGTGCCAGAAGGGGAATGCAAAGAAAAGTGGCACTCCAGCTCAGAGGAGGCAGGATCCTGTCCAGCACAAGCAGTCAAGGAGGACTCTCTGGAGGAGGTGGCATCTGAGTGTTACCTTGAGAAATGACTTAGGGGGAGACACTAGGAGCCTGGCAGGTGGCCCTTTGAGCAGAAAACTGCAGAGAGCAGAGTGTGGCCTCTGGGAGATGCAGGGAACCCAGCTCGCCAAGGGCAGTGAAGGGAGAGAGGGAGGCTGAGGGAGGTGGACCCAGGGATGGGGTGGCTGTGGGGTCTCCCTCACACAGGCAGCCTCCCTCTTTTCCCTCCCACCTGAGCCATTTCCTCTTGCAGCCTGACTTCCTGCCTCCTCCGGTTCCTGGCTCTTGTCGTGGGATGCAGGTCCCTTGAGTCACTACCGTGCCTGGCTGAGCCTTGCCCCACCCTCAGGCACAGCTGAGCAGGCGGAATGGGACCCTCCTCCTGCCCCTCTGATCCAGACCCATGTGCCAGTCTCAAAGCTCTGAGGCGACTGCCTCAAATTCAAACCCAGCACATGGACCACTTCTGCCCCCAGGAAGTCACTCCATTGTGGCTACAGCGACCTGGGGGCGGGGGGGGGGGGAGCTGGACGAATGGGCCATCCAACAGCAGCACCAGGCTCTGAGACTCTTAGAGTAAAAAAATGTGTGCAGACCTGTGGGGACAGAGCCTCAAACTGTCCTGCGGGGGTGGAAAACCCAGGACCTCCTGGCTGACCTACCCCAAGGGCCCTTGCCCCCTGTGCCTCAGGGAGCTGCCAAGACGCCAGGGACAGTGCTAAAGCGAGTGCTGACCATGGCGTATGTCCAGAGGGCAAGTGAGGATGGTAGCTGTCTGCCCAGGTGGGCTTCTCCAGCCCACTGTCCAAGGGCTCAATTTGGAAATGAAAGCCAAAGTGGGTAAAAGAATTGCAAAATGCCCACAATCAAAAAGAAAACAAAGAGCAAAAAACCAGCAGTGGCCCCAGCAAAAGACAGCTCCCCAAGATGGGCAAAGAAGCTGGGCCCTTGCCAGGCCCAGGTGTTGAGGGGGACAGTCCGCTCACTGTCAGGCAGGTGCTGCTGCCTGTGGGACCTAGCTCCCAGGCTCCATGTGATCTGAGCCGGCTGTGCCGTTTGGTTGCAATGGGAATGGAGGCCTGGGCACGGGGCAAGGAGGCTCAGGGCAGCCTCAGCTCTGCCAGTCGCTGCCCTGTAACCTTCCACTTCCATCCAGCCCTGTGCCCTGACTGGAGGAGCTTCCGGAAGCTGCACACCCTCCCTAAGCCTCGTGGGAAGCTGCTACCTGCTATCCTGGGGATGCTGAGAGGCACACACAGGACATGGGAGGCTGTGGGGACCCTACACTGTTCCTTCTCTTCCCCACTCCAGCCCAGCCCCCTCTGCTTCCCTTCCTCAATTATGCTGCAAGAGGTTTGCCCAGGAAACTCAGGACACAGGGCCCAGACTTGCACTGGTCGGGCTCTGCCTCAATGCCAAGTCACTGCTGTGCTCTGGTGCTACAGCGTGACCCGGGGCACAGTGGGTGGGTCCTCTCCCAGCCTGCAGAACTGGGAGCCAAACCAGTCCCAGATGTTTACAGATCCCCCACTCAGTGCTGCTCCATGTGAGCAGCAGGAAACGGGCCACTGCGCCATGGGCGTCAAGGCCTCACACGTGGCCGGACTTCCCCGGTGGCCACAGCAGATGTAACGTGTCCTGGGAACCCAGGTCCTCGCCTGTGCTGCCTCCAGGAGTTCATACAGCCGGCCCTTCTAGCCACTGTGGAGACCCCCCGGATGGTTGTCCCCACACCCATCCCAGTAGCCTTCAGTACTGAGCCCTGCCCTACCCTACCCACCCTCATTCCTGCTTGTGGCAGCAGCATGGCTTACCTGGGCACCAGGCATTGAAGAGCAAGGTGAAGTGGGCGAGCACAAAGCTGGAGCCCTGGTAGCCAGTAGAGGCCTCGAGGCTGAGGCGGTACAGGCCGATGGGGGCACTGGCTGGGGTGCTGAACTGCAGCGACAAGACACAGTCCTGCTGGTCTACCACCGAGGCTGTCCAGGCGCCCTCCTCCACTGCATCAGACAGTGGGAAGCGAGCTTTGGTCCCCGCCTCCTCGCTGGGGGCTGGGCCTGTGGATGGAGAAAGTGCAGTGGTGAGCCCTGGCAGATGAGGCTGATCCAGGCCAGGCCCATAGTCAGGGTCCCACAGCCCCAGGTTCAAGGTCTAGTTCTGCCACTAACCATGGCGAGGATTCTGACGAGGGGCTTCATCCCCCTGAGTTTCAGTTTCCTCATCTATACAGTAAGGATTGGAAACCCTGCCTTGTGCGGAAGTTTTGCAGGAAAGCCACAAGCACATTTTTGGTCTGCGACCAGATAGAGCCACAAGCACACAGTAGGTCTACAACCAGAGTCAGTTGGGACACAGAGTCTCATGCACACTGCTCCACCAGGCAGTGATGGAAGCCAAGACCACCCCTTTCTCTGGACCTCAGCTTGTCCATTTGGGGCATGGGCAGGAGTAGGCAAGTCGCTCCCAGCATCCTTTCCTTGCCACATCCTGTTTTCTCTTTCAAAGAAGCCCAGACTCTGAGCAGCATGTTTTGGGTTCTTTATTGCCTGTACAGGGGTCCGTCTGAGAGTCCAGCTAGCAGAGAGCCTGGCCCCTGGCCTCTTGGTGCTGTTTCCCCACGACCTGCACCTGCTGGCCCCTGTGTGTCCACTGGCAGCTCTGAAATGTGGCTCACAAACCCCACCCCATCTCCTGGCAGCCTTTGACACTCCCTGCCTCTTCTGAGAGACCCCTTGAACAGCCAAGAAAACAGAGGCATCAGGGTTAGTGGATTTTCCCAGGAGAGCCCGGGAACTGGAGGCAGGGTGGGCGTCTGGACCCAGACCCTGTCTCCGACCCGGCCACTTTTCCCATGCAGGCGGCTCTGAGTCACAGGCAGGGCAGGAAGGGGCCGTCCTGACCTGTGGGGAGGAGACAGAGAATGTCCCTGCTGGCCAGCAGGGTTTATTTTTATTTCTCCTCCCTCTGTGCCATGTACTGCTGCTGACAATATTGGGGCCTGCTCACCCTTCATCCCTCCTGCTTTCCACCCTACCCTTCCTGCCTGCCAGCCCCACCACACCCCGGCCCAAATTTAACCATGAACTAACAAGCATGACATAGGCGCCTGGGGCTGTGCCCGGCAGCCAGCGGCCAACTGTATGTCTTTAAATGCTCCCTGGCTGCTGGGGCTCCGTGTTTGGGGAGGCGGCCAGCCTGAGCCTGGTTGCTTACCTCTGCCTACCATGAGTGCTATGTGACCTGGACCAAGTCACTAGGACTCTCTGGTCTACACTTTAGTCACTGAAGACGAAAATGGGCTTAGCTCACATGCCTGAATTTGAAACAGGCTCTGTGTCCTTGGGCGAGACCTCCTCGTGGGCCTGCTGGGAAGCCTTCCCAGGTACCTGGCATACAGTAGGCGCTCCATAAGTGATCATTGCTGTTGTCTCTATAAAGCTCTCAGCAGGGTTGGGCCATCGATGTGCACTCTCCCCAGTGCAGGAAGACTGACGGCCAGAAAAGTGTTTCCATGACAAGTTACAGATCTGGAGCTGGAAATGGAGCTAGGGCTTGCTCGGGGCCATGGGATCCAGATGTGCAAACTGAGGCTAGAGGGTAGAGGCGGGCATTAGCTCTGTTTACACCCACAGTCCCCCCATGATCCTGAATGGCACTCCTTTCATTTTCAGAAAATGTTCCTGTTTGGCCCATCAATACACTGGTTGCCACGGTAACAGGCTTGGGCTGCTTCCCATGGCTGGCCACTGTCTCTGTGGACACAGCACCCTCGAGACAGACCAGGGTCGGCACTTTCCGGTCTGTGTACCTGTGGGTGGCCATGCATATATACACACACACACCCCTTTCTTCCCTTGGGCAGGATGCGGACAGGCAGTACCCCGGCCCCACCGCTGCTCACGTAAGCTGGCCGTGCAAATTCTGCTGCTTTGAGTCTGTGCAGACTGTTGGTGGGGGAGGGTGAGGTGGGGCACCCTAGGGACTACTACTGGGCCTACACAAGCCAAGCAAGGACCCAGGGAATCCTGGCTGTTATCCCATGCCTTAGTGGGAGGCGTGGGACGAGCAAGGCCTTCCTGTGGGCCTCATAGGGGTCCCCCTTCACTCCCAGGGCCCTCTTGGATGGGGCATAGCCAGAACAAAGCTGGTGTCTGTCTGTGTGGTCCACTCTCTGTAGCTGAGCCTGTCGCCTTGAGGACAAGGGGTATCTGGGGAAGTCTGGGGTCAGGCTACACGCTCCATTGGTCTGGTGACCTTGACCAGCTTTCTGCGTCCTAAGCTTCGTTTCCCTGGAGAAGCAGGACAGGACGATCTCAAGCTGGAATGTTGCAACACGAGCAGAGACCCAAGCTAGGTCTGGGGGCGGGGATGGGGGGGGGCGGTGCTGGCTTCCTGGCATTGCCCCACAGTCTTCCCTGGGAGGTGGTGTGGGTTGTTCATACAAGGAAGCCTGTGGAAGTGACTGGGCTGGGTTGGCTGTAGTTTGAGATAAGATTACAGAGACAAGAGAACAGAGATTAGGGGAAACCCTGGTGACCTCAGACTAAGCTGCCCAGGGACACAGAGAAACGAAACAAAAAGATGAGACATCCTGGGATAAGAATGGAAGGCAGGGACCACTCCAGCTGGGGTTCATCTGAACTCCATTTCACAGAGCAACCAACTGAGGCCCGGTAGGTGAATGCACCTGAGGGAGGGTCAGAGTGATGAGAAGCCTCCGTTCTGGGGTTGGGGTCTGCACCCTGCTGTGTCCCTAACTCACTTGCCTGGAAGTCAGACACGACCCTTCAGAGCCTGTTTTCCTGCCTGCAAAATGGGGGGCCCCTTGTGCTTCCAGGCTCGAAGGTTGCGGGATGTATACATTAGGTACTTCATGGTTGTGGTTTTCACCATTTCCAGCTAGACTTCTCTCAGCGAACCCCATCATCAGCCCTTAATCATCACAGAGATGCAGAACAGACCCTAAGGGTGCCAGGGTACTTGTGGGGGGCCCTCGGTGGGTGAGGGGTGTCTCTGCCAGGAGAGGAAGGGGATTGGCCTGGTGATAGGAACAGCTGGGTGGGTGCAACTGCTGCCAACTATGCTGTCTGCCCCAGAGCCTCAGGAAAATGCAGTCCAGGCGGCTGCCCACCGACCTCCAGGGACTGGGCCCTGCCAGCAGCCAGATCAGCCCGCTGGGCATGCCAGGTCACTTCTCCACAAGCATCTAATGACAGGACAATGGGGATGAGGCACCACCTGGGCAGGGGCTGGCTGCCTCCCTCTGTCCCTTCACTGGGGCCTGCAGCTCCTGGATCAGCAGGAGACAGGCTCCCGCTGCTCACATTGACAGGACAGGCTCTTCACATGTTGAGTGCTGTTCTGGAGCTCAGGCTCAGAAAAGCTGCGTGACTTGCCTAAGCGACACACAGCAAGCAGGCAGTCCAGCCTGCCGTGGAGCCCAGACCTGTCTGCACAGCCTCTGAGTCTGAGGGAGAAGGAACTGCTGGGACCCAGAGTTGCCCATGCAGCCAAGGGGTTCAGCTTTCTCTACGGCCCCGCAGTCCTGACCTGGGCCCAACCCTGGAGCACTGGCTGGGTGGCGTGAATTTGGGGAAGTCACTGGCTGCAGAGTCATTTTGATGTGCCTATGAACGGGCAGGATCTGAACTGGCCTTGGGATGGAACACAAGGCTGACTCCACCCTGGGGACCAAGGAGGAGCTCAGTCCTATTTGTAAGACTGCACGGCCTGTGGTGGTATCGTCCCACGTTCTGGGCCTCCGTTTATTCATCTGTAGAATGGAACTAAGCACAGCAGGGACTCCCCTGGGAGAGTTCATCTTTCCCGTTCTTTACCAGGGGACCGCAAAACGATGGCAGAGTCGGGGAGTCAGGTACCCACCAGTCACAGCGCTGAAGGTGAGTCTGTCCACGCTGGCCTCGTAGCCGCGGCCCTCGAAGTGCAGTGTCAGCCGGAAGGGCTGGCCCCGCCGTACCACCAGTCTGTCCTGGCACAAGTCAGCTGTGTGGTGGTCGTGGCCATTGGTCTCCAGCTCCAAGTCGCATCTTTGCAGGATCAGCTCTGCAGAGAGACATGAACCATGCTGGCATCTCTCAGCGCAATGCCCCCCTTTGGGGCTCCCCAGGCATGGGGGCTTTGCCCTCCTGGGAGCCAGCCCCTTGCCCTTCCCACACTTCCCCCCTCCAGCCCTGTTCCCACTCAGCCAGCCTTTATATAGGTTTAACATCCTCTTTAGTAAAAGTTTGAAATGCCATGCGACCCTGAAAGTGTCCCTCCCTCTCTGTACTGCCTTCTCCAAAGCCTCAAAGGGCTGTTGAGGTGTGGTGGGGAATCTGTAGGATACCACCCCACAGGCCATTTGATGTGTACAAGTACTAGCTACCTTCTGAGAGGGAGCTGAGAATTGAGGCCAGGACAAGGACTAGGGCAGGGGCGAGGACAGGGATTGGGTCTGGGACTGGGGTGGGGGCAGAGACTAGGGCCAGGGCCAGGACAGGGACCAGGGCAGGGGCTGGGTCTGGAACTGGGGCCAGGGCTTGGAGTTGGGCTTGGAGTGGGGCTGGGACCAGGACAGTGAGCAGGGCTTGGGCCGGGGCAGGGACCAGGGCAGAGGGGCTTGGTGATGGTAAGGGTGGGTCTGAAGGAAGCCTCATGAACCTTCCCAAGCTCAAGAGCAAGACTGGCAAGACCTTGGGGGTGAGGGACATACATAGGAGAGCACGTGGCTCCACGGAGGAGGACTGGTCCTGCCAGGGAAACAGTGGGCCGGATCTGCTGCTGCAGAAATGCCCAGTGATGGCCAAGGGCATGTAAGCCACTGATCCTGACTGGAACCTCCCTACCACTCAGCGTCCATGGTTGCCGCTGTGACCCTCAGTCCTGTGCGGAGGCACCATGGGCGTAACGCCCCCCAGCATGCAGCCACTCTAAACCAGGTGGCAGCTCAGGACTAGTCCTGCTGTCCCAGCCCCACCCCCCTGCAGCCTGAGGGCAGTCACACCAGCAGTGTGGGGTCCGAGGAAAGTCCACCCTGTTTAGGCACAGCAGGAAAGGCCTCAGCTGACCACCAGGGCTAAACTTCCTGCCAGGGGTTACAGTTTCTGTAAACTTGACAGTCAGGAAGCCCAAGCAGGGAGGAGGTCAGCTCTGTCCCTGGGGAGACTGAGATGGTGGCTGGCGGTGCCGGCCTGGAGATCCACTGAAGATGCCTTCTCTGTCTGCTGAAGACACGCCAGTCCCGCAGGTGCGGAAGAGAGGGCTCTAGAGTCAAGCACTCCTCAGATTTCACCAGGCCAGTGAGACCCCCGCTGAAGGTGCCCACCCCCCACCCCGTAACAATGGAGCCCTGGGGGCGGACTCTGCATCCCTCGGGTGCCCCCAGCTCCGCAGAGTCTCACCTGGGGGCTAGGAAAGAGAAGACCCACCTAGGTGAGAGATTGCAGCGGGTGGGTGGGGAAAGCAGGGTCTCAGAGGGGGGCGTGGCTACGAGCAGGGTCCCCCCACCTCTCCCAACGCGCCCTACCCTAGAGGTTGCAGCACTCTGAGGCTGCCCTCAGATGACAGCCAGCTGGGAATCCAGGTCCAGCAGCACCATGCAGCCATATCTTTTACTGTAGAATCACCCCCTTGGACCTAGGCCTGGGTGGCCATGGTGTGCACCTGTGTATGTGTTTTGGGGGGTGGGCAGGTAGGAAGCTGAATTCCCTCTCCAGTCCTGGGCCCTCCTGGAAGCACCAGGACTGGCCTGCACGTGGTCATATTTTACAGCAGGAAAAATGAAAACTCTGGAAGGTCGAAGTTCTGTTTGAGGCCAAGTTTCCGGTAACAGAGGGACCTCAGTCTTTCTCTTGCCCCCAGGGGTCATGGTATGAGCCTGGCGTGGCTCCCTCACCAGCAGGCCCAGCGGGCACACCCCTTTCGGCTGGCAGGAATTAACTGAAGCTGAAAGCCATGAGGCCTCAGGCTAGCACTTGGCACACAGCATGGCCCTGCCTAGACACAGGGGCTGGGGACCAACGACAGCACCCATCGTGACAGAGTGTTGCAATTTACAACTGGCCACCATATTCCGTGTGGACCAGAGAGGTGGGTTCCTTTTTACCTCTGGCAAATGGAAAAACTGAGAGCCCCACCAGGCACCTCCCAGCCCAGCCCACCTGTTAGGGTCCTGGCTGGATCCTGACCCGCTTCTGCCCCGGAATCCCAGAGACAGCGTGGGCCCTGAACTCACCCTCAGCCATAGTCAAGGGCAGCGGTGTCCGCAGCTCCTCAGACAGGTAGGGGAACCCTCCAAGTGCGACCCGCTGGCTGTGTGGAGGTTGCGCGGGGCGCTAATTTTATAGTCTGCTCTGGGGCGGGTCGGGGGCGGGCCACGCGGGGAGGAGGCGGGCAGGGGCAGGTTTTGGCCCGTGGCCAGGTTTTGGCCCGCCAGGGCAGGCGGGACAGGAGCCCGAGGGAGGGAGCAGGGCGCCCCCTGGCGGACCAGCCGGAGCGCAGGGCCGGGAGAGTGTGAACCACCGAGTTCGCGTTCGCACCAACACGTGGAGAGCTTCTAGACTGAAACACCTGAATTCACAGTCAGGTGAGCAACTCGCGTGGACACCTGAATTCACAGTCAGGTGAGAAAGAGGTCTCTTTCTCTCCCCCCCCCCCAATCTCAAAATCACAGACGCAACTGGAGACACAGTCCTGAGAACGCAGCTCCCCCTGGCAAACAGAGGACACACCTGGGCACGATGACCCGGTGGGCACAGGTTGGAGTCAGAGATGCCCGATGCTCGAAAACCCACGGAGAGCGACGTAGAGTCTCACACCCACAGTGAGCAAGCATCCCGGCATACCGGGCTCACACACATCATCAGCCGCCTTCCGGGGAGATTAGGAACTCAGATGGACACACACAGGAATGCCGAGATGAGCGTGCGTGCAGACACACTCACAGCTTCCCCCCACCACGCAGCAACACTCAGACAAACCCTGGTCACATCTGTCATCTGTCTACTGACCCGTACCTGGTTCCCTCCAGCCAGCCACCTGAAGGGCCACTGTGTGCCAAAGAGAACAAAGCCAGTCTTTCAGGGACTCGGCCTCTGACCCTTTGAACCTGGCTCCTGGGCCACCACCCTGGTGTCCAGCCCCCTAAGCTTTCTCACCCTGAGTGGCAAGGCGGACATCCCTGGGGAAATGCAGGCCTGTGGGTAACCCCAGTTCCACCTGCAGTGATGGATTGGGGCTCTCAAACTGGCCTTGGTCCCCTCTGCAATGCACACCCAGAGAATGCCTTTACGTGGTCATAATGAATGTTTGCCCCTGGTCAGCAGGGCTCCACCTAGAGGCTTAGTGCACAAACCCTTGAGCACCATGGGCCCCGAAATCACCTGTGGCACAGACGTTGCACCACCCATTCCTCGCAACGGACAAAAGCTCCAAGGGAAGGAAGGACAGGTCCACAATTAGGAGAGTAAGGTCCCAGCATTGGCTCGCTGCCCATCACAAAAGGTGCGTCTGCAGGATGGGCCAGGTGAGCATCGTCATGGTGATTTCCACCTCCCGCGGGCTGAGCCTGGTCACCTCCCACACCGCCCCGGGGCTTCCATTCTGGCTTCCACACTGGCAAGATAGATGATCACAGTGCCCATAGCCCAGGATGTGGTAAGGACCCAGCCAGGTCATGCCTGCCAACAGTCGGTGCTCAATGTGTTCAGGCAGTGAGAAGAATGCCCGTAAGATTGTTCCTCAAACACCTCCACTTCCTTCCTGTCCCACGTCCTATCAAACTGGGACCACCTGGGTGACACAGGTCCTTGAGCAACCCCATGTCGCAGCAGGGTTAGGGTCAGCACCCCCCACCCCCAGCCCCACTTTCTTCTCCAATCATTTTGAAACTGGTTTCTGAGAAGGTAAGCAGCCAGAGGCCAGAGCCTGCCAGGCCCAGGGGCCTGGATTTCAGCCCCTGGTGATCCCAGTGGCTGCGCTGACTCCTCCATGAGTCAAAGGACATTCTACTCTACCCATCCCCAAGGGTCCTCAGGGGACTGGGTCGTGTTCAGTCCCACAGTTCCCTGCAAGCAGTGGCCCAAGAGGGCTGTGTCCACAGCCCCGCCTGCCGTGAGTGGTGCATGGGGGAGGCTCAGCAACTGTGGCTCAAGAGAAGGGAAGGAAGAGGGAAGGAGGAGGAGTAAGGATCAGAGAGGCTGCAGATGCTTCCTGGGGCCACACAGCCTGCTGGGCTCCGGCTCGGGTCCAAGGAGCCCCAGGCCACAGCTGGAGCAGGAGGGTGGGGAGTAGTGGGCGGGTCCGGTCAGACGGTTAGAGGCTTCAGTTCTGCTGCCTGGTGACTAAGGAATGAGCAGTGTCTGGATGAGGAGGCCTCCCTGGAGGTGTGGCTGAGCCGACAGGGATTGGGGGCAAGCAGCTGGACAAGCCAGAGCTCCAGGCCTTTTATGGAAGGGTAGGGTATTGGGGGGGGGGGGACTGTCCAAGATAGGACGTCCCAGGTTGTGGGCACAAAGGACAGGCGACCTATCTCCATGTGTCCGCTTTACAGAGAGATTGAGCTGACCTTCATGTCCTCAGCAGCCCGTGCTCCTCCCCTCTGTGAGCCCCAGGGGTGGCACTGGTCTCCCATGTGGTACAGGGGTCATGGTCATTGGTCCCCCTTCCCGATGCACCTGTGCCTGGCTCTGTAAGAGGCGTCACAGTACCGACTTTCGGGGGCGCAGGAGGTCCTGCCTGGCTCACCATGCAGCCCCACCCCCACACCCCGTATTCACACCAGCTATGACCACAGTGACACCATCTTCCCTTCATCCTCACCTTTTGGCTGCCAAGGGTCAGCTGCTGGCACTGGGAGTGCCAGTGACTAGCAGATAGAGATTTGCCCGGGACTTGCAGGAGCCTCCTGGGAGCAGGTGACTTGCATGGGTGTCCTCGTGGCCAGTGGAGGAACAGGTGTGCAACGAGCAACTGCACACACCATGGGCAGGCTGCAGCTGCCAGACCGCCCTCACAGCCAAGCCTGAGCATTCACTTCAGGACCCAAGACTGGACTTTGCTCCAACCCCCACCACCTGCAAATACCATCCCTGGCCTTTCAAGAGGGGAGTGCTGCAATGTAGTGGGCAGTTTATGCCTGCAATGCTGGCATTCCTCCTGAGAGGTGGTTCATGTCCAGCTGCTCTACTTGTGGTCCAACTCCCTGCTGATGCACCTGGGAAAGCAGGAGAAGATGCCCTGAGTCCTTGGACCCCTGTGCCACGTGGGAGACTCTGAAGGCTTCTGTTTTCGGGTCAGCCTTGCTCCAGCCCCGGGAGGGAGTGAACCAGCAGATGAAATCTCACTTCCTATGTAACTGTGACTTTCAAATCAATCAATCAATCCTAAGAAAAGAAAAAGGCCCTTTTAGCTGGTTAGTTGGGCCACACAGAACATATTTCAGATCCACAGATCACTCATTGCCCAAGCCTGCTGGGGCTTCTGGGAACAAACTTTCTCCTGAATAACTCCTGTCTTGGGGATTATCTGTCCAGCAGCCAGCAGTAAGGACTTTGCCAGGGGACACTGCTAGGGCCTTACCAGACCCTCCCCTCGTCTCAACCCCAACCCCCAGGCCTGGGCTGGAGCTGGACCCTTTGCCTGCGGGCCACCCTCTCCCAGGCCTGTGTCCCTTGACCTTCAGAATATTGCCCCAGTCTTGTTTGTTGAACATTCATGTGGCTCTGTCTACCTGCTCCTACCGGCTGCTCGCAACTGCTCAATGTTTGTTGAATGAACACGTGACGTGACCTGCAGCCGAGACAGGCTGGTCAGGCTCTAAGGGTCAACTTTCTGGGTGAGAGCGGGCAGGACCAAGAGCCAGGGTGTGTGGGGGGTCTCCCTCAACCCATGTTGTCCTCAGCAGAGAGGAGAGATCTGGGCCCTTCTGGTGACATCTTCTACCCAGAAGCAGGCTGGACCCTGGGGACAGAGCAAGGATAGATCTGAACCTGGAGGGTGCTGGTAGCAGAGTAGAAGACTCATGGGTCGAGCCCCACAGAGGGCAATCAGCTTTTCCCAGGACACACAGCAAACCTAGGCAGAACCTAGGCTTAGGGCTCCACCCCCAGGCTGGAAATGGGCCGCTTTCGGTGAGCAGGGAGTGGAGCAGGAGCTAGCTGGGCAAGGGCGATCAGCACAGCAGGGGCATCCCACGGCTCCAGGCTCTGACCCTGGCCCCTTGTGCTGGCCACAGTGGCCTCCAACCTCAGTCAGCTCCTCTGCGGAAGGGGTCTCAACATTGCCTTCAAGCCACTCCTGTCTGGTGGGCTCAGAGGAGGAGCCAAGGAGAGAAGGGGTTGGCCCTAGCCACGCCCAGGGAGTCGATTCTGCTGTGGTCCTCCACAGTGAATGGCTCCATTCCTTTTTCCAGGAAGTGCTCGCCCATCCTTAGGGCCTGGACTGACATTTCATGCGCAACACGGCGTGGGAGGATCATAACAGAGTAACAGCTCCAGCATCCGTCACCAAGTGTCCGACGGTTCTTATTCGCTTGTGTAAGGAACATTCAGAACCCTCCCTGTGAACTATTTGCAGGACAGTTTACTTAAGCTGTGGTTAGCCACGGTTGCCCTGCTGGGCTGCGGAACCTTCCAGTTGCTCCTCTCAATGCCTCCACCCTTGTAGTCGCAGCTGCCCACTCTCGATTCCCTCTTCCGGCCTCTGGTCTCTGTGCTCCCCTCTGCCAATGGCACACTCCTCCCTGCCACTCCAGGTAAAGAATGGGGAGCTTTAGGGTTTAGGCAGAGCAGATTGTCGCTTACTTGACATCTTGTGCTCAGAAAACTTTTGTCTATCTAATAACTCCCAAAGACCCAGGAGAGACTCGATAGGGCTAAGGGGTGCCCAGAGTTGGAGAGAGAATGGTGGCAGAAAACCCTGCCCAGTCTGTACAACCTCCCAGGGCAACTGGCAATGGTAATGACAGATGAGCCCGAGCTGTCCTGTGAGAGGAGGGACTTTGTGACCTGCAAGGTGGGCCCAGGAAGCCCTGTTCCTTCCTTCCTAACAGCAGGTGGCTGAGCTGTAAGCCAGTGGGTTTGGCACTCAGTCGTCAACCAGGGTTCTAATTCAGCTTGATAGTGACTCTCTTCTAAGCTCTTGAGTCCTAGCAGGTCTGCAAACCTCAGTTTTCTTCTCTGTAAAATGGGGGCAGTAACAACAGTGCCTACTCCAAAGCTTTTTATTTTTTTTTCTAAAGACTTATTTTTATTTATTTAAAAGAGTGATGATGAGAGAGAGAGAGATCTTCCATCGCTGG